TAAAATAAATTGATCATTGTATCCTTTAATAAACGTTGAAATTTTAATATTTGAATTTATGTTGATTATGTTGCGTTGCCAAATGGATAAAACAAAGATCATGTTTAATGTGCATGTCACACCTATGCCGGTAGTTGTTGGGAGCACTAAGCTCGAAGTTGTTGACGAGTATGTTTACCTGGGACAAATAGTCTGACTAGGTAAGTGCAACTTCGACCGAGAGGTCAATCGACGGATTCAACTCGGCTGGGCAGCGTTCGGGAACCTACGACACATCTTCTCGTCAGATATACCTCAAAACCTTAAAACGAAATTGTACAACCAGTGCGTGTTGCCACTGATGACTTACGGATCTGAGACGTGGTCCTTCACTGCTGGCCGGATGCGGAAGCTCAAGGTCGCTCAGCGAGCTATGGAGAAGGCTATGCTCGGAGTTTCTCTGTGTGATAAACTTAGAAATGAGTATATCCGCAGTAGAACCAGAGTGACCGACATAGCCCAACGGATTAGTAAGCTGAAGTGGCAATAGGCCGGCCATATAGCTCGAAGAACCGACAAACGATGGGGAAGAAAGGTTCTTGAGTGGCAGCCTCGTACCAGCAGGCGAAGTGTAGTGCTTCCTCCCACTAGATGGAGTGACGACCTGGTAAGATATGCAGGAAGTCGATGGATGCAGGTGGCTCAGGACCGTGCTTTGTGGCATTCCTTGGGGGAGGCCTATGTTCAGCAGTGGACTTGTGAAGGGATGTAATGATGATGATGATGATGATGTTGCGTTGTAAAACCACTATATGTAATAATAGTATTTTATAAAGTTAAACAATAAAATATCTCCATTTCAAACCTAATTGATGGATCTAAAATTGTAACTTATTGATTATTTATTTATTGTAACGGTATCCTTTTATCGTTATGATAAAATAACATCGAAAAACAAAAATTATTCTACAAAAACACATTTTAATATTTACTAACTTTTACATGACATTAAAACATACTATTAATGTAGATACCCTAAACCATGTAACACATAATTTGAAAAAAAAAGGCTCAAATTATCTATAATTGTTTTGATTCGTATTATATTACAACCATTGCATTATTCAATATTGCATTTTCAGCGATTTTGTTTGAAAATAGGTCCAAGTTCTCTTTCCGGGCAAGATTCAATTATTTAATCGGATAATTTAGCTTACACAGCGCTTGTTGCGTCAGCAAAGTGGACAGACTAATGCACTCTGAGTTTATAATCTTATTTTCTAGTCGAATATAAATTGATAAGGCTAATTACTTGTTTCACTACGCTGTGTATAAGTAGTTCACACAAAAATGGTGGAAAAAATAAAATGTGAGAATGATGTACATTCTTATGCATTTAAGTATAATCGCTAAATCAATTTTGATAATAACTTAATAAGATTCTGTAAACATAATCGTGAATGAAATAAAAGCACGTCGATATTATTATTTGTTTTCAGATTAAATTGAGACTTAGCATACTTATCAAGGATCGATAACAATACAATAATTTGATAAGCTCGTCTCATTATTCTGAACAGGATCGCCAGGATTACTAAAAAGTGAAAAAAAAATAGTTTAAAAAATACTAAAATAACATGCTTTAATGGTAAAGTGAAATAAATAAAGAGGTAAAATATTTTTTTAGAAATAAGAATAGTATAATTAACGAGGATAAATATTATTGTAAAAAAGTTTTTTCACAATATTTTTTATACTAATAGTACCAATGAAATATTCGTAACAGCATTATATACATAATATTATATCGAGCACACCACGGTTTTTACCATAATATTTATCTTTGTTACTATTCTTATTTCTAAAAAAATATTTATACCTCTTTAGTTCGGGTTACCATTAAATCGTGTTTTTTTACTTTCTTTTTTTTCAATTATTATTTATTTACTTTTTACTCGCATCTAAAATAAGTAAGTATTTCTTTGTCATAATTAGACCGTAAAATAATTATTTTTGTAGCAAGGATTTGCCATTATTGTTACGCATTGAGGCGAATTGAGTATCCGTAGCACCAAGCTTTGTGGACCTTTAACGTCGCTCACCGCCAACGGTCTGGGCCAAAGAGCAGCAGGGGTCGTCTAAGTTTGAAGTGTAAAAAATGAGAATAAGAATAAATGAGAAATATATATATATATATATATATATATATATATATATATATATTTTTTTTTTCTCCTTTTAAACGTACGATAATATTATACGATTGTGTCAAAATTTCGGAAGTATATTCAAACATAAAAGCAAACCACGTTCAAATCGTATGAACATAAGAAACAAGTCAACTGATCGTGTACGCTTCGGCTTCGCATCATTTCGTGCCGCAATCCTTTTCCGTCAAATTCGCTTACGTAGGATATTGTAGTAGTAGTCTGCAGTATTTTGAAACGTTCGTAACTGTACCTGCAGAGGACGAGCTATGAAATACAGAATAAGCAGCGAGAAGACTGTTAAAATATCGATATATTTTTGATGAATGTCGATATTAATTATGAATAACATTTTAGCACCATTATACTTATATCTTGCGGATTGCGCTCTCTCACAACACACCCACATGATCTCTATCGACTTTGGCAACAAAGTTATTAATGTTGTTAACTAACAATAGCACTAACCTATCATAGTAGTACGCTACTAAGACGTCAGTAACCAAACATTCATTTATCATAGATCTACTGCACTAAGACATGAAGTTAAGTAAAATGGAGTTAGTTAAAAGTGCTACCAAACACCCATCTTTCAGATCAGGGAGATCCGAAAGCCGACGTATCATAACGCAACGCTCTAATACGCTGCCCACAATCGGTAGGGTTGCGCAATGTCCATAGGGGGCAAGCCTTATTGCTACAACATAGCCGCTCACCACCGACACTAAGATGCTATAGCTAAGTCATATCGGTTAACGAGTGCACTTTTATCGCGGTCTCGCGGTAAAGCAGTTTACGCTAGACTATAATAATCCTTTTCAAGTCCTATTCCTATGAATATAATGCTTGTATATATTTGGTAACTTCCACATATTTGCTTTATTTCATTCACACTATTTTCATGTCTTTTTATGAGACTTCAAGCCCCAACTCTGGTATTATAAGGCATATGCGTCTTAAATATCTTATATTATATTATTGCTCTGGTTTCATAGACCTTCCTATAATATGTTCTTAATATGAAACCATTATTATAAATTGGACAACAGTACTTCAGTAGTCAGTCGCGACTGCCTATTGTTACTATTATTACTGAATTTTAATTGTTCAAAATAATATTTCTATGATATTTTAGATGACTTTATATAGAAATTAACTATCTATACAAATAAATCAAATTAGAGTGTCTGTTTGTAATGTTAAAATAATAGCTTTTCATTAAATGCATATGAAAGTATATACGGTACTTATAACAAAAACACAGTTTTTAAAATTTTTGTCTGTCTGTCTGTCTGTTCTGGCTGATCTCCAAAACGGCTGGACCAATTTTGATGGGACTTTCACTGGCATACAGCTGACGTTATAATGAGTAAATTAGGTTACTTTTATTTAAGAAAAGGAATTAGGTTACTGCGCAATAAAATTAAAAAACTAAATGACACGCGGGCGAAGTCACGGGGAACATCTAATTAGTAAATATTAATAATAATGCGCCAGCACAATAGGCCATAAGGTCTGTTGGCCTTACCCAAAGCACCTCTATGCCAGTATTCTTGCGACATCCACTGATCGATACGAATTGTAAATAAAAAAAAACATCAAGAGTCATCAACATATCCACGCCGACACGCAGCACCAGTTGGTTAGAACTAGCCTCTCTAAGTACTCTTTGAATATATACCAACGATATAATATGAAATTTATCGACTATGCAAAAACCATTCAAGAGAACTCCATCATCATCAACGGCTACATTAACACCGCAGGCGTTGATAGAAACTACAATGTGTGCGAGGAACTAATAAGAATTTGACTATGAAGTAATTGACAAGAAATTATAAAAATAGTTAATTTTATAAACGTTTTTATTTGTTTTCTTTTACTTGGAAATTACACGCTTATCTTACACTTACACTTTAAAAACCTTATGCCATAAAATCTTATGTACAATGTCTTTTTATAATCCTATTTCCTCCATTTCGCGGTAAAATGTACTATACATATGTATATCATGATGAAATTATTTATTATAGATATAGATACATTGTTCATGACTTCTTATCCACTATTTTTACAGTCTATATCACATTTCCTTTTATATCTAAATCATAACAACTATCATTATGTATGTAATAAAATACCTATACAAGCTTTATAACTCAAGGTTCACCGCAGTATTCTTGATAAATTATAAAGTTAAGATCACGGAAATTGATTTTAACAGCAGTGTATCCTGTCTTAATATACAGTACAATTATTAAAACAACTTTACAGAATGAGCATTTTACCTTAAATTGTATTGTCAAGCATTCTATCTACAATCCGATATGTTATTATGTGAGTCAAATATTAATTTATGATGATTTTCAGTTTTAAAATGTCATTACACCCTACGAATAACAGACGCTTTTAAATATGCGATCATAACTTATACATAATGTCGACAGAATAAACGAAATCAACACATTTAAAAATCATATGGTAAAAATACAGGGCATGGTCTATTATGTGCCACGCGTTACTAAATCGCAAGATAGAGTAACAAACATTTAAAGAACTTCACAAGATTTTACAAACGTATTGTATGAATAGATTTTTTAGTTTCAGCGGTAACTTATACATATATAAAACTAATTAAATACACGAAAGTAATCGTTCTTTTACAAAATTCATTACAGTTTAAAAGAGGCACTTACGCCAATTCAGTCTTGAATCTAACTTTTCCAAAATACTAATTTAAAGTAAAAAGTAAAGGTTCTCAGTATCAAAACGTAAGCATTGTTAAACCGTTGTCTCTATAAAATTAAAAACATGTCAACAAAAACCGTCTTTCAGATCCGGATATCCTATGTCCGGGTTTGCTCTTCTAGATCCATTACCTCTAGAGTTATCAACACGGGCACTACGACCCGCACGACCTAAACTAGCATATCGTGAATCCGCAAGTTTATCTCTTTGTGAAACTTCGTCATAGTATCGCGCGTCATTTAATCCAGCACTATACTTTTGGCTTAAGCTGTATTTATCTAAAGTTGCATATTTTTGTACAGTAGCATATTGAGGCGTTGTTTCTGAAACACCATTGCTTTTGACCTGATCATAAGGCCTTTCTTCGGAAGGTAGTGCTCCATCTAGTCTAGCCTTAAATTCTTTTTCTTTTCTTCTTCGCCTGCGGCATGCACACAATGCTACTGCGATTGCACATAAAAGTAAGCCCACTCCTGCTGCTGCCGCAACATAAGGAGGCGGTAGAGATATTCTAAAAGAACAGTTTGCGTCTTCTTCATCAAAACCTGATGGGCAGTGTATGCTCCCATCACACCATAGCGTAAACGGTATACAAGCATTTAATTCTGGGCACCTAAAATAAAAAAATAAAATTATGCTTACAAACAAGGTGTAAATATTTCTTAAATATGAACAATATCTTTAAACTTACTTATAGCGGCACTCTAATGAAACAGAGTTTGGAAAAAAAGCTGTATCATCTTCTTCAATTGATGATTTTTTAATCAACTCTATCCATTTTATAGAATAATCTGCTGGTTCATGTTGTAGAAAATCAATTACGTAACTTCGGGCATGAGGCTTCAGTGTCGATTCTAAAGTAGTTTCAGCTGTTTTCCAGCCAGGGGAAAATAATTCCATTGATTCGTTTTCATCTGGACAAACTTCTCGGAATTTAGATGTATCGTGAGCTTCATATATATACAGTCTATTGAGAGTCGGACAGAACTTGGATGTTGGAGAAATTTCGAATCCGGGTAATTTCATGTATAAATATCTACCTTGCAGTGGAGTAATTTCATCACCTCCTGGTTCTATAAGCCATGGTCTATGAACACAAACTACTTCCGCTCTGACACTTTCTGATATAACGTTTCGATCACCAACAATTTCTGATGAAATAGACTTTTGCCTTTTATCATAGAGCCTTATTTCTCCACTACTTCCCCTCAAACGCCTATCTCCCCACCCAGACGAACATACAGATTCATCACCAGGTCCAGTTGTTATAAACTTAAATTCGCCTTCGAACGCAAAATCATCATAGTCTTCAGTAATGTTCATCATAGTAACTGTAAAGTTTACTTCTACAACCGGAGCAGTTAAGGTATGGATGTTTAATGGTTCTGATCTATTTGTGCACAGGCAGTCTCTTTGTATTGGTACTCCTTCCCAAGGAAATTCAGTAATCATTATTTGAGCATACCCTTCGCCACCAACGGTTCTCTTTATTGGTTTATCGCATATCCAACGACTGGTCTTGCTGTCTTTGTAGGTATTACAATATTTATTGCCAAAATATGTATTGGTAAAGGTAAGTTGTATTCGCTCACCATATTTTGCTTCAAATCTGTAAAAAAATATAATTTAAGTGTAGTCTAATAAATGTCTGACGGCACGACGGCGCCGTCGTAGTATGCCGGCACAGCAAAACTTGTAAATAACATGTGCACCGATCACGACACCCAGCGCGCCACTCGATTTACGCCACTGTCTCATTCCACACTCGACTTGTTTTTCAACGGGTATAAAACGATGCGTAGCGACGGAGCGGGAGTCTTAGCTCTGGCGTGACTCGGTGCACTGGTTGTACCAAGCTAGCTTATCCTAGACACTCACGGATAATTAAATTGAAATTAATTATTATCATTAATTATAGCGGTGCCCTGGTGCAATTTATACTTGATGAAACTAAATATTATCTTGTAATCCCTGACTTATTATTCAACATGACCGACCCCTTCTCCTACATGTGTATTGCAACAGGTTTAATAAGTAGGAAATTGATTTTAAAAATGTTGTACTTTACCTTAAAATACATGTAAGATTTTGAGCACCTCCTCTACCATAGTAAAATATAGCCCGAGGAGCTTGAAATCTTCCAGAATATGTTTGAGCAGACTTAAAAACTCTATCGCATGCTGATTGAGAGTTTGTTAAAGGCTGTCCTTGTTCACTTACGTCAACGAACTCGTAACGGAGGAAGAAAGATACGGGATAAAGTGCTGAACCTTGACGAAGTTCCTGTGGTAAAAAAATATAAATAACTAAAATGTGTATATAATTTAATTTAATTTAATGTTATAACTAGATTTTATGACAAACTTTTTTATTTTACTTGGTAATTTAATGGTAATAACTAGTTATAAATTATAGTTATACTTTATAGCATCGAACGTAATTTATAGAAATAAACTTTCTTGTTGTGTACTTTTTGTTTTATTTATTTATGAGTAAAGTACATCACTATCATCGCTGTTTTAAGTCATCAGTTGGGTGCAGTAATTCCGACAGATGCCCCAGCTGGATTGATTTAATTGGAGAATTTGATATATTTACAACGCTAGGCGATCTAGTATGTGTGTAATGCTGCTGAATATTAAAAGTTTATGCAATTAGATTGATCGTCGGACTAAGATTTTTGAATAAATTTTTCGTCATCAGTTAAATGCCAGTACCACGTCCGTTGACAAGCAAAATACAGATCATGCTGATGAGGTGGGTGTTTGGAGAAAAAGTTGGCGTTTTGCTCTTACGTCGGTAATTATAGAGTATAAGAAGTTTTAATACATGCATCGTTCAGAAATAAACATATTCAATACTTTAAATTTTATATTTTCTAAGGAGCTCCCTATGGGAGAGTCTTAAAATATATTGTGAAATTGGTTTAATAAAAATGTCACTCAAATAATTATAATTAATTAGCGGCCAGTCTTAACGAAAACTAGTCATCCATGTAGGACAGGATTATAGTGCACGAGTGTGCTTAAGCACAGGTGAACAGTATTCTCTTACTCTTATATTTATAATATAGACACGACCAGAAAGATACCCCATACAGAAACATCGTCTTTACGTGTTTTACAAAGCACGGAGGTAAAACACCGCTAACTTGACTGACTCCGAACTGCTATTTGAAATATAATGAAAGCAAAACGACTTATTTTAACTTATTTTTGGTCCGACCTGGAACCCGAACCCATAATCAGCAGTCGTACTTAAGATCGCTGTATCAATGAGGCAGTGAAATACAGTGTAAACTTCATGTAACGACAAACTCCTTAAAGCGTCAAAATTACTCAACTTTGGTTGGTTTAGCTTGTCTTCAATACAATGATACACTCTATATTGCATTACACCCACTCTCAATAACGACTTACTTACTTACTTACTTATCTTCACGCACAATCCCTGACGGGGTAGCCAGAGAGAACAGATCGCCAAGTGTCACGATCCTTACATACCTCTTTCGCTTCTTTCAGATTCATTATCTTCTTCATACATGCACGTCTAGGTATCCGAGTACTCAATAACGACAATAATTAAATATTAAAAAGTACTTTTTAAGTTGCAAAAATTAGTAAAAACTGCCCAGCCGTGTACGTTCTTCTGTTCTTTTGACGCTTTATTATCCTAGCCCGTAATAAACTCGTCTGCCGATATCATATCTTCAAGCAGAGGAGGATGGAAAATCCAAAAAATTAAAGAAACCTAAATACGAAGATTTAGATCAAGCTGTACTATCATAGTTTTACCGACAGCGCCAGAATAATATGCCTATCGTAAATGCCTATGCGGGGCCAATCGTAAAAGCTATGGCGGAGAAGTTTGCCGAAGAACTTGGTTTAACTTCTTTCCAATCATCAGAAGAATGGCTCGGAAAATTCAAACAACGTCATCATGTCCACTATGGTAAATTTATTAATTAGTGGAGAAGCACGAAGTGTTGATACAAATGTTACTCACGACTGGATTAATAGAATGTGAAAAATACGCCCCAAATGACATTTTTAATAGTTAACATAGCAGAAAAATTTACAGAAAATCTTCAAACCTACATCGAAGTAGACGAATGCCTGATTACAACAGATTTACTCACAGATAAAGAAATTTTGGATTCGGTAAGAAAAACTGAGGATCAAGAACAAGGAGATGAAGAAGATGAGCCTGAGCGTCCGCCGAGCAATAAAGAAGCTCTTGAAGCAGCAAAATTATTGGAAAAGTACTTTCTTTATCACCAAGATGACTCAAAAGCTAAAAAAATACAACATAAATTACTGGTGCAGCAAAAGACGTTAGACGAAAATAACAGATTATCCGCAATAGCGTTCAAATAACAATTGTTTTTATGTAATTACTAACACTGGTCTCAAATAAACTTTTTCTTTCTCTAATACAGATTTTTCTTCATTCCATTTAATGACAATTCTCTATAACGTCAAAATATGCACAGTCCCCTGAGTATCGCTATATAGAGTTTACACTGTAATTGAAAAATTTCGGTATTTCACATTCACAAATCCCGATATTATTATTACTATTATCACAATATCTATATTAAAGTTATTAAAAATATGGTTTGATTTTTAGATATTAAGTTTTAGTGAAACTTTAAGCATTTAGTTATAGAACTTGCCCGGGTCCTTCCTTCGCTGAATTTAATATTGAATAATAAAGCAGTTCTCGACTAGTAACTTTAACAACTTAGTTTAACCAGGTTTCCTATATTGAGTAGGAAGTCCTTGTCTACAACGAACACGTTAGCTAACTGATACCAAGAGAAAGTTTCCAAACTCGCTCAAAATCAACTGTAGTTTCTTTTCATATTCTGTCCTTAAAATTGAAGTACTTAAAAAATCATCTTCGTATCTGTATTCAAAGACGAATTTTCTGTAAGGCATTTTTAATTTAGAGATAATTTAGGAGCAGAGGCACAAATGGAAAATAGAATTTCATCCGAGATGTTCTGTGAACAGCTTGTTATTACTGATGCCACTTGTTCGCAGTCAGCGGTATTAAAATGAAATTATGCTAAATGTATTTCGAACAAAATAGACACACCCTACAAACGCAAATACATACAATCCTCCTACAAAGCAGTCAGGTAAACATTGCGTTTAACATTACAGCATAATAACAAGATGAACCAATGTAAAAATTCCACGCAAACTTCGAATGACGCCGTTATGGAGACTAGGCCTAAAACAATGGATTTTTACTATCCTCAGTGCCATGAAAATAAGCCAATGGCATTATCTTAATATGAATCTATCATAATGAAACATTGTATTTCAATAACATAATATTGTGACCTACTGTAAGATAAAAAACAAATATAAAATTTTGTTTATTTTACTGATTTTGTTATTTATACAAGTTGCAATAACACTAAAACATTCCATCACATTTCGAGTAGAGTGGAGTCCGCACGTGTCTCCTGCATTATTCACTATGGCAAATGCAATGCTCAGCACGCGCGTGACTTATCCGTCTAGTTCCCGATTAATGTTTCACCAGGAATATAACTCTAGATTTAAAGCTCTTATAGAATATATGACAAATTTTGGACATTGATAATGTTTATACTGAATTTGAGATTCTATGATTTTTTGAATCGCAAAATTGATATTTTTTTTAGTAAAAAAATATAATTAAAAATTTTACTATTCTAGTACATATTTGATTTATTTTATTAATTATAAACTAGTGTTTGACTACTATCCCATCTCAAATGTTGTTGAAATATCAAATGTTGATGAAGTCACAGATGATAAAGTGCACTGGCTTAGCTGTACCAAAAATTAAAAAAAAAATGTTACGAAAGACGAAGCAAACCGTTTGCTTATTATACGTTATATATGTCAGTAACAAAGATATTGATACGAGTGTCTGGTTGTCTGATTGTGAAAAAGTGAGGGGAGCGTTAAGTCATATACCGCACACACCACAAAATTTATTCTGTGGAAAACCGAGAGGTTCGTTTTATGTAACGTTACAGTTTATATTATTTTTGAGTTAAGTTATTTGTTAATGCCTATTTCTATTTAAAACTGCTCACCCAATAATCTTTATTTTTATGTACAAGAGGAACAGTAACTGTACTGCAATTTTTATGTATACAAAAATTACTATAAAATATGTGAAAAAAATATCTGCTTTAAAACTTACTTGTAATATTGTAAGTGCTGGTCCTGTAGTTATGTAACTTTCGCTCGGTGCACAAGGTCGCGTGGCTCTAGTTGCGTTTGAAAGAAGTGCGTGGTCACATAATCGAGGCGATTCTTCACGGCAGAATGAGCCCAAAAGTAATTTTTTATCGCTCATATCTAACTGTTAGAGAAATAAATAAGGGTAAGGTTTTTTAAATAATTTTGAAACATTAATTGGAACAAAAACGTTAACAAAAAAAAAGACGTTAAAAACAAAATAGATATTTATTAAATATTACCTTTTTATACAGTAAAAGAACTGATTGAATGCCAAAAAGTTTTTCCAAGTTTAAGCGTTCATCCATTCTTAATGCAAGTAAAGGAATTGCGAATGAATACAACGAAACACCGCACTGCAGTCGGTGGAGAACTTGGTAAGAGTGCTCAGACACATTAAAGAAAATTAATGTTTGGCTCCCGACGTCAAGTGGTAAGGTAGCAGTAGTTGGCAAAGTGAAATGGTACGAATAAAGGCGGCGAAACGCTACCTAATTTTAAACCGCTTCTTTATTTGTATCATTACATTAATCTTTCACGATATGAAAGCTATGCTGTAAACGATTTAAAACTAAACCAAATCCTTACCCTTTATTATATGTCATAATTTTATCCATATGCTCACAGGTAGCCTTTACGAATCTATTTTCCTCCACGAATCGTTATAATAACATTTAAAAATTTGACAGACATGGAACAAATATAGTTAAGAATTTGAATACCTTTCGGTCAAGGTCAGCGTCAGGCGCCGCTCCGTCCCAAATGGTGAGTTGAGATGAACAGTCTTTTTGCTGATCAAAACCTGCCGGGTCGGTGCCGGCTGCGTGATATTTCACAAATGACACCCACACAATTTCGTTGGGCCGACCCTGAAACAAGGAAATCCTTCACCGTACTTTTTTTTGTGTTTTGTGTTAAATTTATTTCTTTAGGAATTTGTGATCGAATATAATTTACATAATCATTGCTTTTAACTTAATTTTGGATAAGCATGATTATTATTCATTACTATTTAGTATTATACTTTTCTCTAAGTGTATAGAAAAATAGAAACAATTTTATAACATATTATTAGGTTAACAAAGTTATATTACGGTTTTAATATAGTCAAATATTTGAAAGTAATCATAAAATCATACCTGAAAGAAGTAAACACATGAAGTATTAGGTGGTAGTGAATGCCGCGGGTTTCTTAATATTCCACTTGTTTTGTCAGAGGAACGCAGAATAAATCGACATCGGTCGTCGGCACGCACGTACGAATGTGAATCTTTATCCACGTATAGGACCTAGCAAATCAAATTTGCACGCTAAAGTAACATCATTTTATTTTATACCAGCACGTAATACGAACTATAAATATATGTCAAACTACTGTTACCTTTATTAGCTGTACGGATGATTGGATAAAATAGCTTCCGCTTTATTAGCTAGCATATGATTAAAAACATAAATATATTTAAGTTGTTTTGTTTAAAGAGTGTTATTTTTTTACAAAGAGACCAGTAATTCTGTAATTTCTAATTAGATAAAAGTAACAACAGGGCTAAAAAAACTTTATTGCATCGAGTGAATATTGCAATTATTGTTTAGGCTACATTTTAAATCTGTATATCCAGCTAATTTAATTTCTCCAAAATCATCACAAAAAGATTAGTATTGGGAGTTTATTCTTACACCATCCTGGTGCCAGAACTCCAGCAGTTCCACTCAAGTTTGTGTACCACACGTAGATGGCAATGATAATTTTTTGACGCGAATCTGACTACATGTAATAAATAATACGAGTAAATTAATCTCATTATGTTAAAATTCAGTTTTAATTAGCTGCATTAATATTCTTTAACGTTAAAGAACATAATGACGTCCCTAGTTTACACAATGGTTTTGATGATTCTAAAGCAAACATATTATAAAAAGTAAAAATTTGTTAATAAATCGTAAACTAACCTGCACTTCTAGTTCAAATCCAGGTAAATAACTCAAAGGAACTGGATGAAAAGGGTTATCGTATGGCGATGTATGAAACTCCAACAACATGTTTGGACCTCTGCTCACTATATCAGGGACAGCATCACCGCCACATAGACGAACCAATATTGGAGAATCACGAGTTGGGCCATCCCATACAGTCAAATAATCCTGAACCACGTTACATTGATCCCAAATCCTGCGTTAAGAATGCGCAAGCAACCCACGATAATTATTTAAAGGTACGTAAGTTATGAGGTAAATAATGAAAGTATTATTTCAGTTTAAACATTTTGTAGTTCAACTATTATAATATTTAGTATTATTATAATTTCATTCTTTAACACACTTAAAATTATATTTTAATTATGGCGTTTTAATGCTTTTTTTTTGGTTTGAAAAAATCTTTATAAATCGCCTTAAATACCTAAAATATCTAACATGCGTAGTAAGTAACTAAAATTTTTTCAATCTTTCTTAAATTTTTAATATGGTTCAAGTTGGAAATTTTGGGTTCAAGTATAAATTATGTACTCACTTGAGAACACGTTGACTCCTGTCATATTTTACTATTTGGTCCTTGATATGTATTTTGTGACTATTAGTCTGTCGTACGGCAAGTAAAACGTGTTTATCAGCTGGAATCTAAAAAAATATCTGTTATGTAAGATTGATAGACTAGAAATACTATTGCCTGTTTAAGAGCCCTCTCTCTATAAAATCTGATCTTTTGTTCATAGTTCGTAGCTCCTGCTAAACCTACCTTGGTATGTTCAATACGGTATGTACAAGTAGCGTTTCGTGGATACACGCCGGGAAAGTTTGGTGACTGGATGCGGCACGCTCTTAGATCGCAGTCGCTTAGAATGCGGTCGCAGTAAGTACCCGGGACGCGTTCTCCCCGCCAGGCCCCCACCGTAGCATTCCCGTATCGTAACCGCGCTTCACTCCGTCTTAGAAACTTGTAAGCCAACTTGAAGTCAAAATTGTATCCAACACCCTTAAAGCAAACAGCATCGTCACTCTTCACTGTAATTATTTCCGGCGTGATTGCTTTACTGCTTTACATTTAAACCACTTGTAGGCAGGGTATAATATATTATTTTATTGCAAGTAAAATTAAATAAAACGGCAAATTTGAACACTGTTAAAATAATTTTAGAGAAATTTAATCTATACCTTGACTAATTAATGTTTCGATTTATTTAACAAAATTATTTAGAGAAATTTCACTGGGCCGGTCCCTACGGACACCCCGTAATTATCGCCTAATTAATTGATTGAAAGTTCAGCCCCCGGTGCACATTATTCGTCTGCTAACGCCAGATAAAGGAAGGGCATCGAGGCGTTAAAAGCGGGGCGATGTGAAATATTAGTTAAGTCAAAGACGCAAAATCCGTAGTTAGTTACCTACATCGTGCTTGTAAAGCATAAATGAATATTCGGTAGAAATGTTTTAATGAAGACAAATATCCTGGCTCGTCCTTGCTATTTACGTTCGCATGTGTCATGTTTAGCTTTAATCGTATAATAATAGAGATACTAAGCCAATATAAAATAAAATTTACTATAAATTGTTTATCTATGTTAATTTATGTTACTATAAAATAATACATAAAACAATAACATTTTAAAAGAATGTCGCCCCTTTTTTAGGAATTATACGGCGAACCGTGGGTAAGAGGCGATAGAGGTAAACAAACCAGAAGGGCTGCAGCAGCGTCTATCTAATAACAACAAAGGGGAATATCCATCCTATAAAGCAATCTATGTAGGAGGCCGATGTTCAGCAGTGGACTTTTCGGTAGAAATGTGATAAGCTATAACGGTAACATACCCGTAATAAGATATGACAAATAGATGAAGGTGGCTCAGAAACGTGTTTTGTTGGGGAGACCTATGTTCAGCTGTGAACTTGTGAAGGGTTTTAGTGATGATAATGACTATCATATAAGACCAAACCTCCTAAACTAAGATAACAAGAAGTTGAGTTTTATTTTTAATTTATAAACAATAGGTACCAATAACCTATATTTTTTCTCTTTTTACAATAAAACCTTCTTTTTTATTTGTCAGAACTATGAAATTATGGGTTTCATGTAAAGGCAAATGTAATTACCAAATACACGCTATGGGTAAATTAACATTAATGACTCATCGGACCTCGACATGGAATAAATACAAATGCTGTTACATATTTACCAAATCGATAAAACTCTATTCAACTTCAATCCTCTGTAGCAAAGCAATGTAATATTTTTCTAGACAGCGTTATTACTGCTATATTAATGGTTTTAAACAAATTAGTACTCGCTACTACGGTAATATTTTTCTATATTTAAAGGATATGTCATTACATATTACAATGTGTAATATCTTGCTAGTAAATCAATATTAAATAAAATGTAAATGAAATTTTACCTGCTGACTTAGTCTGTCCAGCCTTAGCGTCATATTTATAGAATCTGATTCGCTAAAATAAACAGTATATCCCCAAGCAGATCCGCACCATTGCCCCGTCGGTGGAGACGGACTACGTTCCACAATAGTCATATGTCCATCTGGACATCCATCAGATGTAAAAGATACAAATTTTCCTACGGTGAATGTGTCGAAGGTTAACTAAAACAAATGAATACAATTAAAAGCTGTAAACTAGAATTTTTTTTGTAAAGTGCAATGTATTACGACTGCGTTTGGTGTCCTGTAAGACGCGTCTATGGGGTATGCCAAAATGATCTTTTGGCTTATGATAGATGATGCGGTATCCGACAATTGGAAGCATCGTCATACATCGTAGTATGACGATGATGATAGATGCGAAACGTTAAGTACTGTTATAGTCAATACGTCTACCAAGCGTGACGATTAAGGCAATTCTGTCTTTACAATGGGAAATGGTCGTGTTCAGTTGTAGACTTTTACATCCTAATGAAGGAAAAGTCTTTAAATTTTTGGTTGGAAACAATCGACGAAATTTGTCTATATATTTTCATTGTCATTGATGTAATAGAAATCTTAGGACATTAAACTTCAAACTAGTCAAGAAATAATTAAAAAGTAATACAACGGGTATCTCATCGTTTAAGACCTTACAAAAATACCTGTATGTGAAAAATATTATTCATGTGTCATATCGGCTGAATAGAATAGAATAGAATGATTTTTATGCAATATGGATTATTACATAATACTTATTGAAAGTCATTATTTTATTTACCACTGGTTCGGAAAATACCTCTGTCCTGGGAAGAACCAGCAAGAAACCCAGCGGGACTTTTTTTAAACATAATTTCACTTAACATATAGAGATAAGATAAATAGATAAGATAAGATAAAATCGTTCACATTATCTTTAATCCTCTCTGAAAATTCTTAACTTAAACATCTGTCAGGCAACTTCAGAAACTGTTACATAAATAATGTTCGCAAGGTTTTATTATAACATGCAACGACCTTAAGACTATTTTAAAATATATTTTAACATATATAGAATATGAAATTTACTGTATACAATCTTTTACTGTGAGGTATAGTACAAAAAAGTCTGTGCCTGTGATATATTTCTGCCCTATGCACCAAAACAGAATGATTCAACTTTTGTTGCGGTTTAATGGGTCTGGACCTGTAGCCTTCGTTTAAAGTTGGTTTTATTATTTATTAGGTCTTCGCCTAACTATACCATCTCAACTTCAAAATTTTTTTCCAACCATCAAACTTGAAAAATGGAGTCAAATGGCTTCTTCTGGCTTGGGCACCAGGATCTACTGTAAGTAATGTTTACTATTGTTGTATAATACCCATTTTTCATCGCAGGTAACAATTCGATGCAAAATGCCTTCTTTTCTATGTCGATTCAGTAATATGACGCGAGTATCACACAGTGCGTTACCGAGTTCTTGAGTGATTCATTTACGAGTATAAAAGACCTAATTCTATGTGTTAATGGGATTTATCGGCAAGTTACTTACCATGAGAAGAGCCGCTACTTAGTATTTCACGATAATCGATTTAATTTAATTTTATATTTCATTGTTATTGTTTAACTATTATCAATTAATTATATTAATTAATTGATAATAGTTTAACGAAAACAATTAAAACAAAAAAAATATTTCCTTTGTATTATTATAGTGAACACGAAGTAGTGGTCCTTCTATAGTAAATATTATAATAACAACCTGTACATAACATACCTTATTACTATTAGATAATTTAACAGTAAATGTTTAAACTTATGATTGCAAAAACTTTTTTATAGGATAGGGTGACAAACGAGCGGACGGTCCACCGAATGGTAAGTGGTTGCTGTGGCCCATAGACATCTACATCTATCCTCGTTTGCGAATCAAAATGCAGTGCGTTGTTACCCGTGAGGACTAAGATGGAGTGCCTCTTTTCCAGTAAAAAGTATCTCCGGTTCTCTACACTAACCATACGAAACACAGCAGTGTTAAGCTGCTATTTTACACTGGTATTCTGTGAGAGCATGGTCCTTCCCCGGTCGAGGCGACCCATTCGTGTTACAACTTTACTATTAATATAGCTACAGCATTGCTCTGGCACGTGTAACTACTTATAATCATAAAAAAACTAGTATTAGCGTACACTTAACAGAAATAATATTTACTTGGATAATGTCGCCATAGTTTCCACCCGTGGCTGTGAAGTTGAGGTTGCAAATAAACGGTAGGTGATCTTCTCGTGGCCTGCGAACTTCTATTTCATATGTTCGGCCTACGTCACCCATGTATGTTCTATTGCACGCTAAAACATACAAAAAAGGAGTCACGAATTAATTCGTTTCAAATAAATTAATTGTTTAACTATTTTTTTATATTTACAGGAATACTACACATAGAATAAAAGTAATTTTACGGATTTTAGCAGTAGATTTATGCAGAACGATCTTACAGTATCTCCCAAAAGGTCAGGATTTAAAAATAAATGTATATGTAAGTTTTATTAAAATTTACATATACATAAACACTCACGCCTGTCACCCAGAGGGGTAGGCAGAGATTATGGACTTCCATTTGGCACGATCCTGACACACCTCTCTCGCTTCCTCCACATCCATATACCTACGCATACACGCTCGTCGGTTAAAGGTACTCTTGATTTGGCCCATTTTTAATATATCGCCAATTTGGTCGATAAACTTTCGCCTAGGGCGACCCTTCCCGACTATGCCGTTCATCTCTGCAACATAAATTTGCTTTGTCACTCTTTCCTCATTCATTCTTTCTACATGGCCAAACCACCGAAGCATTCCTTTCTTAATCCTGGTCACAACATCATCTTGCAAACCACACTCTTCTCTTATTAAACAATTTTTCACTCTGTCATTCAGCTTTATCCCTAACATACTCCTTAATGACCGCATTTCTACAGCATTTATTTTACTCTCATGCTTCTTCTGCCACACCCAACTTTCACTACCATACATTAAAGTAGGTACTAACACAGCATTGTGAATTGCCATACGTGCCTTTTTGGACACATTCTGACTTTTCACAATAGAGTGTAGAGCCCCATTCACTCTATTTCCTGCATTCACTCGTCGTTCTATATCCTTATCATATCTACCATCCCTGCTAAACACACATCCCAAATATACAAATTCATCTACTTGCTCTACCAGCTCCCCTTCTTTTCTTATTTCACATATCGTTTTACTTTCTTCTCTTTCAAAAACCATAACTTTCGTCTTACTTGCGTTCACTTTCATTCCCTTTTCTTTTAATGTCCTGTTCATTAATGTAACCATCATTTGCAACTCGGCTGCCGACGATGCAAGTATGACTTGATCATCGGCGTACAAAAGGCATTTGACGGTTAACTCACCCATTCTTAACTCGCATTCTTCTACTTTCAAATTTTCCAAACAACTGTCCATAAATAGGTTGAACAACCACGGGGAAGCCACACAGCCCTGTCTGACACCTTTATGGATGCCAAACCAGTCCGAGTAGGCCCGTTGATCCTGACACAAGCACTAGAGTCCCTATATAGAGACTTCAATGCCTGTATCAGACCAGCGGTCAACCCAAATGAGTTCAGTGTTTGCCATAACACATCCCTGTCCACTCTGTCATAAGCCTTCTCCAAGTCAATGAACGCACAAAAAACTTTTGGTTTTTGGCCAAAAACTTCTCCGCGATCATGCGTATTTATTGTTTTAAATTTTTCTTTTAATAAAATTTCATCTCTCAGTGGTATACATAGTGTATATTTCTTATATCCATTGCTTTCTATAAGTTACGTTAAATTTACATAATATTTGCTGCAACATATTTTCTGACTACATTACAATTTAAAAGCTCGTACGCGGTCTACAAATTCGTTTTGGAAATAAAGAAAATTGTACAAAAACACGTAATTTCTTTCATTATGTTATATACGCCTTCTGACTCGAAACAAATGGTCCATTTTACTAGAGTAATGGCATACTTAGGCGTGCTTGTGTACGTGGTTATGTACTCACCTAAGAGAAACAGTTGCTCACATTATTTCGTCATAATTTATTCGTGAGGTAACGGGTGGTAGTTCGTGCGCGTAGTTCTACCTCACTCATACACACAATGATTAACGGACATTTTTAATCCACTGTTGGACATAGCTTTTCCAAGAATACACCAGTGGGCAAGTACTACTCGGAAGATTTGTCCATACTTACTACGTTTGATCAGCGTATTACCGTATGTGATATTTGAGTTCAGCGTTTTTGGATGGTTTTACCGCCACTTGATCACTAGAGAGTCATCCGTCCAGAGCAGCACGTACAAGTAGTGCATTTTGAAAAATGTTGACATATTCCCCTTAAATCCCACTCATACACGATAAATTATTTGTAGCAAAAACTCAAAAAAAGTTATTTTGTAACATATTTTATTTTTTATATCATTTACTTTTAATAAAAAACGTTACTCCCATGAACTTTCTTCTGTATCGTAGAGGCAGATTATACATACATAAATTTCACAAAAGCAAACATCCAGACCCAGAATAATTATTTCTAGGCCATACAAATACTTGGGCCGTCATTAATATATACATAAACACTCACGCCTGTCACCCAGAGGGGTAGGCAGAGACTACGGACTTCCATTTGGCGCGATCCTGACACACCTCTCTCGCCTCTTTTACATCCATATATCTACGCATACACGCTCGTCGGTTAAGGGTACATTAACTCTGAGTAGATTTTGAATATTCGATGAAACTAGTGTTTAAATTATGTAGTATAAATTTAACGAAGTATTAATTTATATAAGGAATTAAATTAAAAACTTACGATTATTCTAAAAAACATAAAGAATAAAATTTAAAATAAACTTAAATAAGAAATAAAATATTTCGCATGGCATTTAATAAATACGAGCTTGTTTCAGGTAAAGCACTGAATTCGAAATAATATTACAGAAAACTTATTATTACGAACGTAGCTTACTACATAGTAAGCTACGTTCTTCATTTTCCCCTGATATGCCAAACTTTTAGTAAATGCATTTCTGACATATTTTCATTTTGTCGATTGAATTCTTGTAGTACGTATATGTGTATGTACCATTCTACCCCATTTCGTATACAAATTTACTTAACACGTTATTAAGCTAAATGTGTTTTTGTTAATTATAGCTATATTTTGGGTTAACGACCACCTACATGGTAACGATAAAAGCGAAAGCTCGTTTCAGTCAACCTCTGTAATTAAAGAAAGTTTATTGTTTTGCGTTTTTTAGTGTAAATCATGTATGCGTATTTGAAAGTAACATATTTCATTCATTATTGAATGGTTTCAACAACATTTATTTGTTTAATATAAATATAGTTATGTATTTAATACTCGTACGGAATATAAAACGAATTCATATAAATGTAGTGCCACAGATACATAATACGTAATTTTTATCAAAAAGTGTATTTCCTGCGACAACCAATACTAGTTCTATGGTTTGTATATATATTACTTCCGACATAACTGCCCTTTCTATATAAACTTTTAGCTGGAACATGAATGTCGTAAATGAGCAATTTCCTCGGTCGGCTACGAAGTTACAAGTAACAGACAAGTCGCGTCGTTTTCCCCTGATAACTTCTTGTGGTTACATGAGATATTAACGATAACATTTGCACTATCATGACTCGGCTGTATAAGTAAAATTATATAATATATTAACTTTTTACTTATACTAAAAGTAAAATGTGAATTGGAATTTGTAAAGCTTAAAGAAATCCTGAATTCAGACATAAGGATACTCTCAGTGATAAAGTAATATAATAAATACTAAATAAAAATACATAGTCGGTGTTGTCAGGCATACAGTGCCTTCAATTGTTATATAAGACGATAAAATAAGTAGGTATTTAAAATTTCAATTGTTAAGTAGATATTACACCGGTCTACAGCATTTTTGGGCATGGGTCATATATACCTTATTTTTGTTGCTTTTATAGCTAGAAATAAGAATACAGACAAAGAATGGTTCTGTTTTTGATTTTTAGTGAAAAATTCCAAAAAACATATAAATAAAAATACATAAAATCTGTACATAGAAATGATTTGTTAAAAAATAACGAACGTCCATTTATGATTTATTGGTCTTAAAATAGAGTCCAAAAGTTTAAAAATGAACTAATTTGATTTTCCTGATATGTTCAGCAGATGTTCCTCTTATTAACCCTCAAACATAATCCCCCATCATGATTTCGGTGTCATGGCCTTGGTAACGTCTCTCAAATTCCATTATGTCTTGATGGAAGCGTTCCACTTGTTCTTCCGAATAAGCTCCCATATTATCCTTAAATTTATCTACATGAGAATGTAATATGTGCATCTTTAGAAACATTCTACATCTGATGATACAAAAATTCAAAATCATGTCAGTAATCAGCTCTACATAATATTCATCTCTATCGTTTCCAAGGAAACTATGAACTTCTGCCTTAAAACTGTTCCAGGCTTTTTTCTCCTCATCTCTAAGTAACCGCGAGAAAACATCTCAATCCATATTTGATTTTTTTGGGGGTCTACAAAGATTCCAGCTTTAACTTTCGCCTCTGAAAGCTTTGAAAAAAAACTCTTGTTTAATAAGACTCAATTATTGCTTCCCATTTAATATAGAATTTTCCTACTTCGTACTTAGTACGTTCAGGCCACTATTTTTGGTGGTAGTGAGCTGCATCATTCCTAGTATCCACCTTGAATTCCAGTTAAAAACACACCATCTTTCAGTCACCATATTTCGCAAACGCATAGGTACTGTTTGTTGAAAGCAAGAAATACTGCCTCCCCGCCTTCTTACTTCTCTTTCAGTAGCTTGCGATAGCGACAGCGCCTAATGACCGACTTTAATTGGGCGCGAAAATCAAAAAATGGTCAAATCGCTATAAATTTATTAAAAGCAAATATTTTCAATGTACAATCGCACTTTTTTTATATATTTTTGCTTATATAATCAGTATAAATTGAGTAAATCCCATGCGCAAGAAATTTTTATTTTTTTTGTTGACTGGTGTTATTACCGACGTACTCACAGCATTAAAATAGCATAATTTCCTTTTTATATCCATCATTTATTTTAAAAACATTTCATTTGAATTTAATAACTATATATATTAATAAATATGCAGGTAATAATGCAGGTGCTTTCAGGCATACCTTGGGAGAGGCATACGTTCAGCAGTGTATAAAAATATATAAATTTAAATAATTATTGACTTGTAACATTAGATAATTGTTAAATTAAATGTTGGATATATTTTATGTTGCTTTTATAGGTTTCAAAATAACAGTTATTCAAAAATACTCATACGAGACAATGGAAAATTTTAATTAATTAAACCGAAACATGTTATTTTTATTCATCAAACACTACAGAAAAATATGTTTATATTTATTTAGTATTTAGATATAACAAAATGGTTTACAACAAAACTTACGTGAACAGGCCTTCGGCTCGTCGCTTTTATCACCGCAATCATCTTCTCCATTACAGTATTTGTCTAATGATATACATTGTCCTGTGTCACAAAGTAGTTCACTTAATCTACAAGGACTATCTACGCCTATTTTTTTTATTTTTTTCACACTTTTATCTGTGTCTATTGCACTTATTTCTGTTATGATATCTACACTATCTTCATTAACAAATTCATCATTTATGTCCTGGGGGCTACTTAATTTAAGTGATAATAACACAAGTATAAACAGAATAGTTCTTTTGCTATTAACGTCGTCAAAGAGTTTAAGTGAACACATTTTATTTTATTTTTCGATTCCTTCGTCCTTCCTACTGCCTGTCAGTCATGCTGAACAATCAAATTGATTTTCCAGTGACATATCTGAAACAAAAGAAATTAGTGTTAAAAATATAATAGTGATGTAGATAACACGACTATTTTCTTAATCATACATTAGTAGGTGTAACACTTCCTGTCATTTCGCTGACGGTGACAACGCCCGAACAAACGTGTTAACTGTATGTTTGTTAAAATACAGAAACAGACAGAAATTTTTTATTCAATATAGATTATAAATAATACTTATTGAAAGTCACAAAAAACATTTTTGGGTAAGGAAACCAAAACAGATTTTGGGTTCCATTCCCAAAGGGTAACCAACGGGACCTTATTACTAAGCATCCGTTGTCCGTCCGTCCGTCCGTCCGTCTAAACGTCGATCAGTCAGCGGGCTGTATCTCATGATCCGTAATAGGTAGACAATTGAAATTTTCACAGAATATGTTTCTATTGCCGCTATAACAACAAATAATAAAAATTAAAAATTAAAAGGGGCTCCCCTACAAGTAACGTGTATTACGATGGTACGGAACCCTGCAAGCGCGAGTCCGACTCGCACTTGACCAGTTATTTTGTTTATCATTGGTACGGAAAAAATCTCAGTCCTGAGAAGAACTAGCAAGAAACCAAGCGGTACTTTTTTTAAATAACAGCTCATAATCATATATGTGACACATATATCACAAAAGAAATTAGAAATAGCTTGGCAGTGATCATTTTATTTGCAGGGATTATTATCATACATAAATTCCGTAATATTATAATAACCCTTTTTAGACAAACACTTATTGTACTTATCTAACCTATGTACCCATGCACAAATTAATTATTTTGCAATAAGATCCGAGATAGGCTAGGGTATCAGAGTCAGATGTACTATCAAAACGCAACCAGATCCAAAAATCGATAATATGCAGAATTGGTTCGATTAGAACCGTGCCAAAGTTAACCGCGTACTCTGAACACTAGGCTATACCATCATTATCAAAATAACAAAATACCTAATGATATATTGTGATTGCAAGAAAATAAAATGTAAATGAAATATTATGTAATATATTCCGATAATAATCTTTTTATATTTTCTTATCTTTTTTTTTTAATAAAACGTCACCCCCACACTAGGATTTTCTCCTGTATTGCGGAGGCAGTTTACAAACATATATTGCACAAGGACAAACATCCAGACACGGAACAATTATTTGTAGGCCGTACAAACACTCGTTCCGTGCGGGATTCGAACCCGCGGTCCCAAGCGTTGCAACTCATTGCTAAGCCACTACGCCACGGAGCCGGTAAATATATAATAATGATAAAGTGGCCGTGTCAACGCGGTAATAAATGCCCATTTTTGGGCCAATTTTTTAATCTTCAGATAAAATTTATGCATGGGATAAAATACAAAATAAACAAATAAAAAATCACAGTTGTATGAACAAAACACTTCAATTGTTTCACTTTTATATTCAGTCGGGTTTTAACTTATTCGATGAATAATTTTAATCTGATGATTGGAAATTCAGCGCTAAATAAAATAAAACTTAACAGTTACTTCATAGCATTCTGTGAAACAATATTTCACTAAATCATAGAGAATATTTCGCTGCATAATAAATCAGTGGCGCTGCATATGCGAATATTAAATTTCTTTATCTAGGCACAATCTAACTAGTTACAGGTGCGCAGTATTATTTATGGTCTGCACACATGTCGGCAAGGGTAGCTGAATGTATTGCCCTACTTACTGAGGGTCGATTTTGCTTTCGCACTTACCGTAATAATATGTGTAGATATATTAGTACATATAGCTGTGAACACAATGACATTTATTTTTGTTACGTCAGAGATTTGATATATATTTTTCTTAAAAGCAACACTCGGTAGTTTTTCACCGTATTACTTAACTGAGTATTGGTTTCCTTTCGTTTTAGAATAAAGTGGACCATAATAGCCCAGTAATTTTGTATATTAGTAATTTAAGGCAAATATTTAAGAAAAATTGGAACAGAAGAAAGAAAAAGTAATTTTGGAAAAGGTTTTTATCCAGTCCAACTATATAATTGTTATTGACGCCGTGTAGTAAAGGCGAAAGAGAATCCACTAGCCCATAGTATACACATGCATTGTCATTAATGAGGATTACAATGAAATACCTCACAGCCTGTTTTAGTACTGGATCTCTATACCCTTCAAATCCTAACCGTGTAGTGGCGGTGTAAGAATATTCACTTCCCCGTATATATGAGTGTTGTTAGAGGCGACAGAGAGAAACAGGAGATGGGCAGCAGCATCTTTCTGATAACAACTAAAAGTATTAAAAAAACCGCTGCTTCTAACCCGCATGCCAAGCGTTCAACAGTAGAATTTTACAGGTTGTAATAGATGAATTGATTGATGGATACTCTTTAATCCGGAATACAAGCACCATCTGACCAGATGGAGTCCAAGGCAGATGAGGAGTTCTACCACATAGTTGAGCATCTTTCTTATAACAACTCAAGAAAATAGAAAAATTCCTGTTGCCTACCCGCCAGACAACCGGAGCAACTATGGCAAAATTACTGCTATGTGGCAAACTATGGGCTCCTATATGGCAGTAATGAATGACTGAATTGCTATTGCGTATTTGTAATTGCTGATGTTTCTTGTATTATAAATTTCGTATTATTTTTATAGGATAAGGTGACAAACGAGCACACAGTCCACCTGATGATATGTGGTTGCTGTGGTCCATAGACATCTACATCTATCTTCGTTTGCGAATTAAAATTCAGTTGCTTTGTCAGCCGTGAGGACAGATAGAATGCCTCATTTCCAGTAAAAAGTTTTTTTCCAGTAAAATAGGTCTCCGGTTCTCAACATTCATCATACGAAACACAGCAGCATTAAGCTGCTATTTTACGCTGGTATTCAGTGAGAGCGTGGTCCTTCCCCGGTCGAGCCGACCCATTCGTGCTACAACTATATCATTAATATAGCTGCAGCATGGCTCTACCAAAATTCAATTTCAAATGAATAAGATATGATTTTACGAGGTTAGGTTAGACGAATATTAATAAATTTATATTATCGTTGTTCGCAAAGTGAAAGACTTTATTAAATTGAGCGACAATGTATCTCTTTTAAAGGGTAAATTAGATAGTCAGTTGACGATTCAAAGCAAATATTTAGGAATGGTGGTGTTTGCACGTAATATTATTAACGCGAATTCAGCTAACACAATTTAACAGTAGCAATTCAGAAGTCACGGCAATTGTGACACAGCAACATGCAAATGACCGTAAAAGCAAATTTGTGTTTTCAAATGCATAGTGCTTGCAAAGGGTTTAAATTTGCGATTCTATCATAGCAATTACGCAAATATGTTTAAATGTAAAGTAATATAATATTCCGATTATCACGTAGCTTAGAACCAATACCACTACAAATATTATAACGATAACTCTTTCGCATAGTGGCGGTGTAAGAATCTTCATTACCCCATATTATTCTGTGGGTGTCGTAAGACGCGAAAGAGTGAAATTAAACCAAGAGATGGGGAGGAGCATCATTCTGATAAGAGGATCGAATGACAAAAATCAGTGTTTGTCAACCGTTTGTCAAATACGGCAACTTTGGCGATATATCCGTGAAGGGTACAAAGAGACGGCCCTAATCTTCGGTGGCTCCACTAGTCCTGACTACGGTAGTATTCACAATGACGACCAGATAGGGGTGATGAGAATACGGAGGTCCGGTTGGTACCTTTAACGATGGAGATTTATTTTTTCCTTTCTTGACCTTTCAATCAGACCTACTGTTTGAAAGTGAATCGCTGGACGTGGTGACAATAATCCACTTATCTGATTGTTTCGTTGTTCGTTTAAAGGTCGGTGCCTAAAATAAGCACGATACGAGTTTGAAGTACTCAATTTCATTATAGGCACCTCAATTAAGCACCACCAATATTGTTCAGCGGGCAAAAATCGTGCCAAATCTCACCATTTTAACACAAAAAATGTTTATTGATAGTCAAAGTTTTGAACTATTAATGAGCCTTTTAATTATTATTTTTAATAGAATCAGACTTTACTTTGCGGAAATCCAATATAAAGTTAGTAATAATTACTTTGCCACTTGGATATAGGCAAAATTATTTTTACTAACTTTAATATTATTTTTGTTTTGTTTTTATCGATAAACCTCGTTTTGTTATAAGAACATTAGTTTAAGTAATGAACAAGTTACCAGCATTAGATATTTTATAAACAAATGTTGTAGGTAAAGTTGGATATAAGTATTGAGGTCTCATTTTTAACAATAATTTAAACATGATAAATCAATTACTTCTGATTTCATAGATTGAACTAAACATAGGGACAATGTAAAATAAAGCACGTTTGTTAAAATATTAGATCATATTTTTATGTCAAATTATTGAGCTTGAATTATAATTATTATTTTAGTATATTTTGCATAAATACACAATAAGTATCTGTTCTATTAGTAACGATTTTTACGTGGTAGAGCCATGCTGCAACTATATTAGTAGTATAGTTCTAGCACGAATGGATCGGCTCGACCGGGGAAGTACCACGCTCTCACAGAAGACCAGCGTAAAACAGCAGCTTAACGCTGCTGTGTTTCGTATGGTGAGTGTAGAGAACCGGATATCCTTTTTACTGGCAAAGAGGCATTCCATCTTAGTCCTCACGGGTGACAACGCATCTGCATCTTGAGTCTTTATTGAGGATAGATGTAGATGTCTATGGGTCACAGTAACCACTTACCATCAGGTGGACTGTGTGCTCGTTTGTCACCCTATCCTATAAAAATACAGTAACTGGCTACAACACCGTAGTCAAAAAGTCAAAAGTCAAATCCCAGCTGAAACTGACAATTGTGCGAAAACTAATTTTTCCGATACAATTGTGACGTATTATAATCGTTCATGTTCGTAAATCTACCAATTGTAGTTTC